AGGCTGCCACCCGCCAGCTACATCAGCGAGGGCAGTTGCCCGTGTGTTTGTCCATGGCTATCCATGCTCTAACGATAAGGTCCGTTACAGCCTGTCTGTCCTCTCGAAAGCTTTCTGACATAGCGCAGATATACCGTTCTCAACCCTTCCCCTCAAGGTCTAGACTATGCTCGCCAGGCTCGACGCTTAGTGGACATTGATGATCCTTCTATTGAGGGACTGCAGACTCTCTTACTATTATCACAGACCTTTTTCGCTTATGGTTATGGCAGAAAGGCCTACATGGCATTGAGTAAGCGTCCCAACCCTAGTATACTTGCCTCATGACTAACATGTATAGGCAATGCTATTGGTATGGTCTTAGCTTTGGACCTGTATCGGGAACTGCCTGCTCAAAGCCCGTCGCGTAGGGCAGAACGCGAGATAAGGCGTCGTATTTTTTGGACGGCTTATACAATGGATCGTTTTCTTACTTGTGGCTCAAAACGGCCCTGCCTCATCGCTGATCATTCCATCGTGTTACGATTACCTTCCGCTGGACCGGAAACTGGCGAATGGTTTAACCCGGTCGGTCCTAACATTCAGTTCACATCCGACCGTCGCAAGGGCCCAGGAGCCGCTGCTCTTTTAGTCGACATCACTCGAATCTTAGGCGTCACCCACCGCTACTTAGCTGCTGGCGGTGTCAAAGGTGACTCGCATTTTCCTTGGCATGCTCTCTCCAACTTGTCCAAAATCCGTCAGGAACTTGATATCTGGGCAGCCGGCACGCAGGACCTATTCGCCTCAATTGAAGCCTTATTTGGTCATCCAGAGAGCACGCTTCTGCTTCTCAGCAAGTTGATATACCACCTAGTTCATTGCCTGCTGTATCGACCGTTTCTTCCCATTGACCTCGCTGAGCTCCGCGGGACGGGCCAGCATCAGTCATGGCAGATTGAGGCTACCACACTTTGCTTCTCGCACGCCAATGCCATCGCCGAACTGGTTGAGCTGGCGCGCCATGCGCCGCGCATTGAATGGCCGGACTTGATAGCCTACTGTGCCTGCACCGCTGGCACTGTTCACATTCACGGTGTACATTACAATGGCCGCGAGGGTGAAGTATTCGCATCGAGTGCTGACTTCCTTACGCGTGAGATGAGCCAGCTAATATGGCTGCGTCACTCCTGCTCAGGGGTTCAGCATCAGCGCGAAATGCTACAAACCATTTCGGCATGCCACGCAGATCTGGTGCGAACATTAGCTGCGCGACCGGTGCGGTTTGCGCCGGTCTTCCATCTGGAGGATTTCTTCGATCGGTATCCCGGATTAGTTGTTGAAGGAGCACATGTAAGATTAGTAGATATAGATGACCCGTGAGTTCTCTCTATTGATAAGGCTTGATGATCTCAATCTGACGATGATTCCAAGCGCCCGCTTTGACCGCGTGGATGCCCACGACGGGAATAGAGCGATTTATCCGGCGATACCACCAGCTACGCCAACTCTCCCATCACAAGCCGGTCGAAGCAACTCGATCAGCTTCAACGCACCCCAGCCATCACCCTCACCGTGGCTTGGCCCTGACCTGAGCCTTCCAGACGGCGGTCTCGGCTTCTCTCCATCCGGGGTAAACGCCTCCCCAACCGCATTCCTCTCGGAACCCTTCACCGCACCAACACCACCGTCCCAACCGCAATACGCCACCTTCCCCTTTGAAGCATCCGTTCCGGGGACAGCTTTGACGCCGGACGCTCAGTCCCAGGGTAGCACCTCGGGGGCGGGAGCGGGGCCGGGGGACCAAAGCTCGTCCGAGAAAGACCCGTTCCTCAGTTTGTTGGAGCAGCTAGCGGAGAACGAACACTCACAAGGGGGTCCGAGCGAGTTGGACTTCTTTCTGGGGGAGGGCCTCGAGGCGCCGGGGGAAGGATGCCCGGACGACGTTGTTGATGCTTAGTTTATGATACCCTCTATGTACTATGATATACTATAATAGATATGAATATATGAATGACGACGGTATATACGATTCTACGGACGATCTCCTGCCTGAGTCAACGCCCTGAGTGATGGACTCTAGGATACGTCATGTCAAGACCGAAGCTCGTAAGAAATCCCCACGTAGCAGGGCTCACTCTGGAGTCTCTTCCCCTCAGCCCCTCTTTCACGCTAGAGACTTTACCGAAGAGCTAAAAGGCAAAGAAACAACAAGAAGTTGGCAAACACTCCACAAGCGCGATCGAACTAAACCCACACAATCATGCCATTACCCGATGAGCCAATCGTGGGCAAAGACCAAGACGCTTGTACCCGGAGGATATGCCTGATCCGGTTAATCGGGCGTCAATCCCGAAGCCCTACACCGCGTACCTTAGACCTTAGCTTGGCCAACCTTGGGGTAGAAGAAGTTGTTGCTACTAGTAGGGTCTGGTGGCCCGACTATCCGAGGAACGGAATTAAAGGCGGAGTAAGGAAGGCATAACGGAGAGCCAAAGAATGGGTCCCTGACTCGTACTATCGTTTTCAACGAAGCTGTGCGCCTGTTTCTTGTAAGCGCGTGCTTTTGACCTATTGTTTGTCTCTGCAGGTACCTGGTCCCGTATACCGTATACGACACTCTCTAGCGTCTTCCATGTGGGTTTAATTTACGCTCAACGATGATCTCAATTAGTGTGAAGAGTATGATGACATGTGAAAGCATGGTAAATCCCCTTGTCGAGATGGGTATAGCTCTGACCCTGTCATATCAATCTCATCTTATACTTTCCGATCGCCCCAGTTGATGGTCAGTTTACCAGGCGCGCAAGCGAGGGAACGAAAAGTAGACATGCAAGAATTAACCGATAGAAGAAAATTCCGGCGATCCGTTGAGACTATGACTGCGCTGATATACCTATCAGGAATAATTATATAAAACAGAAAGGGGATAACTTGAAAAGAAAAGGCATGAGGATATCATTGCTACAATACATATATATAGGGCACGCATGTAGGTAATTTTACCCAACAAGTAACTCATGCCATCCAGTCTATACAAAGCTTGGGATCAAACTTCTCCAACTTATCGCATATCTTGCTGTCGCACTAAATCAAGCTCTACGCGCTGCGCGAGCTTTTACTCCTAAAGCCGTTGTGCGGACCCTTTCTCCAAGATTTGGTCCCTCACCCATTGGATCTCAGACGCAACTACATCAGGACGGATAAGATGGACATGATGGCCGCAGTTGGGAAGGTAGGTAAGACGGCTATTGGATGACAATTGGAGTTGTTCACCCTGCGCACGCTGATCATATTGGTCCCAGCGGTCGAGTAATCTGCGAAAGGCCGTCCGCTGCGCTTCAGTACCGTTGCCCGCCTCTACACCCTTTTCATATATTCGTTGGTAGTCTTGAGAGCCACGACACCGTATAACACTTAGGGGTCTAGCCCCTAGTGCTTGGTTCCTATACTGCTCCTTGTTTCCTAATGTCTTACAGACTTCCATTGCAGCTGCAGATTCAGCCTGGGATGTCTTGATTCCTCGTGCAATGTCTGCTGCACGAGCCCTCCACTCGTCTCGAGAGAGTTGGGCGCTGTCGCGTAACCCCGTCACCTGGCTGAACTTGAGGTCACCCAGTACAGCATTGATGTCTAGATCTGGATCGTCTAATAGCTCGGATTGCCTCTCCGTCGATGCATCTGCGAGCACCATTCCGGCCACCTCCTCTGGGTATAGGTGCAGGTACTCGCGCGCAACAATACCCCCATAGGAGTGAGCCACTAAGAGGAAAGGAGGGGTAAGGCTCGCGCTGTGTAGCAGCCGATGCAGCTCAGTAGCTGCTGTCGTGGCTGTTGGCTTAGTAGGCCCATCTTGACTGCGTCCTAGGCCGGAACGGTCATATAGGACAACGGGTGCAAATGTGCCCACGAGTCTTTCGACCGCGACGTATGACGAAGCGACGTCTCCTGCGCCTGCGAGAAAGATAACAAGCGGCTCCCCGGTCTTACGAGCGACCCCGCCTATGGAGAGGAAGAGGCTGTGTGTTCCGATGGAGAACATCGAGCCGTTCTGGCTACCGTAGGTATTGGATGTCATGAGGCGATGAAGATCTATAGCTTGATCGGGGATTGGATTGGTGTGACTTCGGGTCTAACCCGTGGAGTTAGAAGATGTGACTAGGTTATGTCCGATGTTGGCATTTAATCGGCCATTGTTATACCAAATTAATCACGTGGGAGGAGACAATCTCATTACGCTCGTCCCTCCTCGACGGAGGATATTCGTAACTTGTCTCTGGTGCCACAACGTTCAACTCAGGTAGAGCAACGCTCCCTGTCGAAACGAAACAACATAATGGTTCCTCGACATCCCTGTGGGTTTTCGGAGGTTTACTATGGGGTACACGAGCTATCACTGAAGAAGCAAAGCATGAGCTTTCAGTGACTTTGGTCTTACCAGTGACACAGGTAGCTGAACATGTGTTTCAAAGACAGGATTTCTCTTTTCTGGTCGTTTACAACCAGACCAGCCAAGCATTAAGGCTTGCAGACTAGATTAATCTCCCATAGGTCCTGAGGAACCCTTCAGGCCCTTAGTGTGTTTAAAGGCAGCCTGACTCGTCTATCCCGATAGCAAGATCAGCTACGTGCATCATCGTTAATTTAGGGACAATGCGAGGTAGCTTCACCAGGGCGTGATCAGGTAAGATCAGAATGTTACTATTGGTTCATAAAGCTACTTGTATAACTTAGGAAACCAGGATACATTTGCCTCTTAGGGCACATGTTACCACTCAACCTTTATCACCGGGCGAGTGAATCACTGCCTTTGTCTGCATGGCATACCGAGGTAACTGAAGGGGCTTTCCATCGAAATTTAGTCAATTCACTGCCATGGGAGGCTAGATAAGTGAAAGTCCTTTATAAGAAAGCTGCTTTCTGGTTAATGAGAGATACTTCAACGTTTTCATCCTATTCCGCTAGCTGATTGATATGTTTGTTGATTCTTTACCCAGCAATTCTGTGTTCAATTTGCTATAATGATCATAGATCTTTCTATCTCCGCTCTGACACTTCTCCTGGTAACCTATTGGCACGTATCCACTGCCTCTTCCCTACCCGTGGTGGATCTAGGTTATGAGCTCCATCAAGCATTCTCGTTAAACGTAAGGCCAGCTTACTGCAAAGACCAAGGCATTAGCGACTGACACTATCCCAGGAGACTACTGGTCTTTACAACTTCAGTAACATTAGATACGCCGCTCCACCTTTGGGAAACCTACGGTTTCGAGCCCCGTTGCCGCCCAAGGTGAACCGCGCTGAAGTCCAGACAGGGGCATTGGGTAGAATTTGCCCACAGGCTACGCCGATATGGAGCAGATATATCATGCCGCGGTTTTTAAAAAGCTACTTTACAAACTCAACGTTTGACACCTCCCTCGACTTTTCCTCCTTCCCAGTTCCACTCATTCAGGACCCCAGAACCTCGGAAGATTGTCTTTTCCTTGATGTTGTGGTGCCACAGAAAGTATTTGACCGAGCTCAGGGCAAACCCCTGATACGTAAAGAAAGTTTGGCTCCGGTTATCGTATATTTCTATGGCGGAGGTTATGTTCTAGGCGATAAGAGTGGCGTTGATCCATCTGGTCTCATTCAACGGAGTCAACAGCAGGATAAGGACGGAGTTATCTATGTGGCTCTGAACTACAGGGTAAACACCTCACTCCTGATAGGTGAGAACACAAAGGCACCTCATCGCTGACGATCACCCCGTAGCTCGGCGCATTTGGCTGGCTAGCGGGTCACACAGTATCCCGGAAAGGAACCCCCAACGTCGCACTTCATGACCAACGACTCGGCCTAACCTGGGTAGCTCAGAATATTCATCTATTTGGAGGTGATCCCAACCGAGTGACTGTTATGGGCGTATCGGCCGGATCAGGGTCCATCCTTCATCAACTCACTGCATACCAAGGGCGTCAAGGACCTTCCCTATTCCAGCAGGCCATCCTGCAAAGTCCCGCCTGGGAGCCGAACTATGATACAGACAAGCAGGAACGGACCTTTCGCCGATATCTCGAGCTCCTCAACGTCAGCACCATCGAGGAGGCACGCCAGCTACCCTCCGAAAAACTCATTGCTGCCAATGCCCATCAGGTGTCAAGCTCGCTCTACGGAACGTTCACTTATGGTCCCGTGGTGGACGGCGTCTTTGTCTCCGATCTCCCAGGCAAACTTCTGCTGCGCGGCGAGTTCGATCACAGCGTGAGGATACTGAATGGCCATACCTTGAACGAAGCTCTCATGTACACGCCGCCATCCAGTTTTCAAGAATGGGGTCTACTCTCACTTATGGACGAGCACTTCCTTGACCTTTCGGAAGATATGAAAGAGACCATCGTCAATGTTCTATACCCACCCATCGTGGATGGGACGTACGGATACCGCGGATGGGTTGAGCGAGTCTCTTCCGTCCTCTCGGACATATGCTTTCAGTGCAATTCATACCACTTGAATCATGCATACAAGAACAGTACTTACAGCTACGTGTTCTCCATCCCTCCCGCTATGCACTGGATGGACCATCCCTACTCATTCTATATCAAAGGCGCAAAGCCTCTAGCTGAGAGTCTTCTCTTCCAAGTAACAAACGAGACGGTGGCCTTCATCCTGCAAGACTACGTTACGAGTTTCGTTCAAACGGGAAAGCCGACGTCTCCACTAGCCCCGCCCCTTGAGATATATGGTCCTGAGAGTCGGGTGATAAGTATAGGAATGAACAATATCACGGGGATGCGTGACCCAGCATGCAATGCTCGGTGTGTTTACTGGCAGAATGCGTTTACTTATAGTCAGGATAAGTCGTGAGGCGTATTTCGATTATTGCATTGCGGACAGTGGGTTGGATCCACACAGATGATATGGCTGCCGAGGTTATGAGGTGGTACTTTCCAGACTGCAAGTATACACTGCAGATGTACTTCAAGAAATCTGCTAATTAATTCTAATGTGCTGTGGTACACTAGACTCTCGTCTCTCACTTGAACCATGAACCCCCTAAGTCCACACACACTGTTTATATGCGCACATCCCTACACCTCGTATATAAGCAGAGTCATACATCAACAGACCCGCACTTCCCCATAGAGAGACCTATAAATAGCCTCGGCCGTCCCTGAAATCTATACAAAACCCACAACCACCATCACATACACTTAACATATCTCCAGCCATCTCAATACCAAAAACCAAAGAACCCCAAAACAACACCACACAATGAACCCCAACCAAGCCCCCAACGACAACCTCCAAGAAATCCTCGCAACCGACATACGAACCGAAATTCCCTCCGAAACAGTCACCGCCATAACATCGCAACCCCCATTCATCACCATCCCGGGAGTCTTCAACATCCGCAACCTCCGCAGCGACAATCTCCGCGCGGGGTACGCCTACCGCTCGGGCGCGCTATCCAGACTATCAGACGAAGGCAAAACAGCCCTCCGCGATGTCGGGATAACCACCATCTTCGACCTGCGCAGACCTGATGAACGGACTAAATCGCCCACTCCTGTCATCGAGGGCGTCGAGGCCGTCTGGGAGCGGTATGCCCGCGAGCCAGGCCCGCCGAATCCGCTAGACTTCAAAGAAGAGGACCAGGGCGTCTCCGGGTTTCTAAACATGTTTGTGAGTATCATGGAGATCACGACGCCGATTTATAGAAAGGTCTTTCTGCATATCCGGGATCGGCCACAGGAGCCGTTTCTTTTTCATTGCACTGGTATGTTTTTGTGATGCGTGGCTTGTGTTTCTTTCTCTTGAATATATGTATGGATCTTGCATGTATCTATATAAGTCCATTCACTGACGAATCGGGTCGAATCCGTATAGCCGGTAAAGACCGTACCGGCGTCCTCGCGGCTTTGATCCTCTTGCTGGCCGATACGCCCTCCGACGCTATTGTCCATGACTTCGCCCTGAGCCGCGTCGGAATCGAGCCCGCTCGAAAGATGCTGATAGCGGCCTTTCCCACCATCTCCGGCACTGTGACCCCAGAGAGTGCCGGGTGGCTGCAGCTGGTGAGCGTGCGGGCTCCTGCGATGGCTGCGTTCTTGGATATGGTTGAGCAGTCCTTCGGGGGCGTGAAGGGGTATTTGACGGGCGTGCTGGGGTTTTCAGACGAGGATGTGGAGATTATGCGGGCAAACTTGAAGGGGAATTAACAAGTGCTCTACTTCCAGTAGATACTAGTACATGATACCTAAGAGATACCAATTGGATAGACGGGGGAAGGCTAACCATGGAGGCTTTATCCGAACAAAGCCAACCACTAACCTATTCAGTCAATAACTCTCCAATCAGATATCCTAACCCTATCTAAGCCTTCCGCTTCAGTTTATTCAACCAAAGATAAAAATGCAAACCAGAAACGGGGACATATCAAATTAGGGTCTCGATGCCATCACATGACATGACATCATGACCAGTAGAACAGTCATTCCAGCATCATCACACCACCACCACTCTCATGGAACAAAAAAGTAGCATAGGATCACCTACGTAAAGTACCTAATTGAAACGGGCGAGCTGTTTTCGACCTTCAATAGATGTGCAAATGAACACCCTCGACGCCCTAGCGACGGACCACGGCTGGGTCCATGGCTCCGTGACCAAACCCTTCACGGCCATCGTCACGCTCTACATGAGCCAGCAATTGGCGCTGGAACTTGCCGTGCAGGAGATAGTCAGTGTCATCAATGAGGTATATTACGGGGGTGATAGTGATCTCGGTATCCTCCCTCAAGCTTTTTTTTATGTCTTTGCAATATATGGCACGCATGAACTAGCTGTATTTTTTTTTACTAACTGTGTTGGCTGAATTGTCTGAAGACGAGTATCTAAGAGATTTATGGAGCGCAATCATTCACACGTCCCGGAAGGTTCCCCGGGAAAGGCCGCACACGCCCCCTGACGTCCCCACGCCGCTTCAGATCCGTCTCGCTGCCCTTCTGCTTACACTCAAACGCCAGCCAAACCCGGCACCCATGCCCACCGCCCATCTTCAATCGCCTGTCAATACTCGTCGGGATCTTTCCTGGAGACAGCTGCCGCTGTTCGAGGAGACGGTTTGTGAAGCGCTGAAGGATGAGCCCGGACGACGGGCCAAGTTTACCAAGGTCGAGACCGAAGGCTGGGTGAATTTCATGGCGTTTTTGGCGCTGATTACGAAGGAGCGAATCGTGGGGCTAGAGAACATCGGGATTGTAGTCCTTCGAGAAGCATTGGAAGAGAGACACGACTCTCTTCCTTCGACGGAAGAGAATGATGATAGGAAGGCGGATGAGGGGACGCAGTTGACTGTGTTTGTGGCTGCGGCGGCTATTTGGGCGGTTATCATGGGGGAAGAGCTGTGGGAGCGAACGGGGCAGAAGGAGGAGTCCCCAGTGGGTCTGTCTCTGGGGCCTGCGCCTAAGCAACTTATCGGGGAAATTCCTAAGAGGCGTTGGGAAATGTGGATTGATCGATTTCAATTCTTGAGCTTGCGCGAAGATCTTAAGATATGTACAAGAGAGTTGGCAGCGGAAGCCGCTGCTGTCATGATGCGGGTTCTATAATGCTCGAGAAAAACAGGTGTAATGTATGATGTACCATGACTCTATAATTGTGAGTAATGCAATATATACTAGGAAAACTTCACTCCCTTGCTCGGATCCCAAGTCCCCTGTGCCCCGAATCGAATGCCCATATCGGGCGACCACACGCCGGGGGCCATCGAGGGTCTTGTGTTGGCTCGTGTTGGTTGGGGTGCTGTTAGTGGCTCATCCCTTGGTGGTTGGTGCTGGACCGGTTGAGGTTGTGGTGGAAGTTGAGTCGGCTGCTGCACCGGCTGGGCAGGCTGGACAGGCTGGGCCGGTTGGGCTGGTTGTTGGCTATACTGGCGTAAATGTGGTTGGGAGAGATTGAGTGAGGCCATCGCCGCAACGCTGGTGATTTCCCTGCCCGGGTCAGCGCCTGGAAGTCATTTACTGGGTTTTCGACCCACTCACCCTTCTATTTGGCTTGCCTCCATCCTTCGCTGGTGCACAAATGCTTTGCAGTCATCCCGGAATCGACCTACAATCTTGGCCAGATCATTGTAGAATTTCCGTCCCACCTCGATGTTTGAGATGATTTCCTTGTATTTTAGATAGCCATTCTCCAGCTCTTGCAAGGCCTTCTCGCGCTCCTTGGTCGAAGCATCGCCCGTGTGCGCCCGGGTAAATGCACGGTTAGCCTCCCGCACCTGTGCAGAAATCTGGTCTTGCTCGTGCTGCTCCTGGGTCACCATCTCCAGGTCTGTATCGTACAGATGCAGCTGCTCCTCGAACAAATCTTCGAACTGGCTCGCCTGGATCGCCTGCATGGGGAACTCCCGCTCCAAGCGGGCGGCTTCCTTGAGAAGGGCTTTGCCTGGGCGTTGTCAGCATCGGTCTTCGAACTCAACCCTGTAACTTACTGATGTCGTCCGATCTGGCTTTATCCTTCAAAGCTTGTGCTCGACGTTTCCGTCGGTTCTCCAGCCGGCTTACTTCGCTCAAGCAACCCCGTAGCCGAATAGATTCCCGCTCGACCTCTGGCGGAATTGCCGCCCTCCGGCTGCTAGGGACGTACATCTCCAAATCCCGGTTAGTGCCGGTCAAAACTCGGAAGACCGCCTCCGAGTCTCTCAGCTTCTGCTCTACCAAATTATCACTACTCTGAGCGGAGGAAAAGTAGCCGTCTATCTCTCGAGAACTGGTGTACAGCTTCGGTGCCGCTGCTTCGGACGGTTCTCTGGCCCACCTGTCGGTTCCGTATTTGCGGCGCGAAGAGTCATCCTCGGCCTTCTCTGCGGCGAGTAGTTCAACACCCTCATTGTATGCAGCTTTGTCATTGGCCTTCACCCTAGCGGTATCCTCGAGTGATCTCCGCAACCGGTTCAAACCATCCTGCTGGCGCATTTCTTCCGCATGGGAGACCAACGTAGGCGGTAATCCAAGAGGCTTTTCAAGAGCCTGCAAGGAGCCAGGAAGATTCAGAGACGATAATAGACTATACCAGTTAGTATTTTTCTCGTCGGAGCCTGATTTCAACACCTACTCCCGTAGTTTATCCGTCATAGTCTCCAGCTCCCCGATAATTGTCTCGTTGACGAGCCGATCACGGCGGTCAGAGTAGATACTGGCGGCGATATGGACGGCGTATGGCACCAGCTTGGAAAACAACGGCTGCCCCAAAGGTCCATTGTCTCCCAACATGGAGATAGCATCGGTCACCTGAGATGGCGCCTTCGCTGCGACCATACATGCACGATCAATGATCTTCAATTCCGACTTTGGCGGAACTGGGTTGAGATAGATTACATCGTTGTCTTTCTCGGCGCGCTTTAAGTCCTCCGTCACACGGTTCTTTAGTCCCTGCAAGTCCCCTAGCACAGTGCGATTGATCCAACGCGATTCCTTCAAGGCCTCGTTGACACAAACCTCGCTGTCTCGAAGACGAGCCACCTCTTCACCATACTTTCGCTTCTCCAAACAGTCCAAGGACTGGCGATACTGCGCCGCAGCAGCAAAATGATGATGCTTGGCTGTCATATGATGAATCCATTCAGGACTAATAGCATTCGATTGGACCGCATAGTCACCTCCTTCTACGTAGAAATCGGAGACCTTGGCCGCCAGCCGAGCAATGGAAGCGTCTTTCAGCCCATCCTTGACTGCCTTCTGCCAGAAGCACTCCTGTCCCTGCGCGAGCAGAAGCTGTTCCAGGCTCTGTAATGTCATATCATCCATATCCTCCGGGGGTGAGGTACGAAGATCAGGAAGGATATCCGTCCGGAGATGTGCTAACACTCCAGCGGCCTGGCAGAGGTAGTTGCATGCCTGTTTGAGTCCATCTGGCGTTGTACGGTTCACTGAGAAGGCTAACTGCGAGTAGAGTGCTACCAGATTAAAGAGGATGTTCGCAAGTTCAAATCGAATATTGTTCTGCGAGACTTGTACTCGTTAGCAACAACGCCGATGACCGGATTACTCTTCACATACTCGGTCTTGAGGTATTGAACCCTAACGCAGGGTACCATGGAAACTCGACTCCAATCTGTAAACTTCTATGTCAGTAACAGTTTTATAGCCAGTTCCCCCATCGCCATGCTAGGTTACATACATCGACCGGGAACTTCCCACCAAGCCATTTCAACTGCGCGGCATATGTGACCAACCGACTGATCCCACTAACATGCGGCTCCTGAACGTGAATCGCTTCATTCCGAAGGCGATCTATGATCAATAGATCATCTGCAAACATATCTGGACGCTGGTCATACTTGGTGGAGATATACTGGGTGATCGCGTCTGACAATGAAACGGTGTGAGAGCGTCGAAAGGGGATCTGAAGAATATTTCTGGACAATTAATTAGCCTAGACAGCCCGGATAAAACAGCACATCCTTGAGACAGCACATACGATGCCATGCTGGGCGACAGTCAAGAGCGCAATGAGAGAGGGATCGTCGCCGGGCAACATTTGTTGATGTTGAAAACCCAACCCCACCGGGCGACGGATGACGTTGTGTGTTGGCCTGAGGCACCACACACTCTCATTACAATTGATATACAAACCAGTCAACCATAAGAAGCGTCATTTCCCATATACCACTCTTGTGTCCAAGTGATGATCTTGGAATTACTTGGGACCGTAAAGGGCAATCGTAATTTTTTCAGTCGTTATACATTTTATGCGTCCCGGGGTCACATGCCAGGTTCGTTTTACATCTTTTATTTCCCTTTTTTTTATCACAGAATTAAACGTACCCCAGTTCTTCCAGGACCGGCTCTCCCCAGCCTTTCATCCATTCTGAGTGCAATGCCTGTTCAGCTGTCGCTCTTTCCTTCGGCCGGAAGGTCAGCATTGGCCGAAGCATATCCTCAAATGCCCTCTTCTCTTTCTCCGTTACTGTCTCCAGACCCGCCTCAGCCCGGGGCTGCTGTATACAGTAACCAAACCTCTGGTCCCAGGTCCTGCACATGCCATCGAGGCTCCTAGACGTCTGTGGCTTCAATTCACCCTCCTCGGTGAACCATTCCAGTCTTTTGCTCCACTTCCCCCACCACTCGGGAGGTAAGATACCAAGGACTTTGACTTGCTCTGCGGTGACACGGTCTGCAGTTGGCCAAAACGCCTCAAACAAAGGCCGCTGGCCAAAAATCTCCCAGACGGTACAGGCAAGTGTCCAAATATCCGAGGCAAAGGAGAGCGGCTCGTCAGAGAATCTGGCCGCTGGTGGCTAGAGGAGAGGAAAGGTCTTCGAGGAGAACCTAGGTGTTTTGTGTGGGTTGAAAGATTCTCCAAAGTCGCTAAGATGATATTCTCCTCTCCAAAGACAATATCATCGCTGCGAACGCCAAACCAACCAGGTATGAATACATGCGCGGGTACGCCATTTGACAATGGCTTGCCATCACGACGAACAACGGCCACTGACTCTGGCTTTCCGAACATCTTATATAGCTCTGACGTGGAAAGACGGTCGATCGCATCAGGAAACTGGACTAGGATATTGCCTAGATGAAGGTCTTGCAAATGGTGTTAGCTAGGCAACTCAGCTAGAGTCATCCATAAGCATCACATACCACGGTGAACAATATTCTCACTGTGAAGGAATGCAACCCCACGAATGAGCTGAGCGATAATTGCCTGTGCGGCTTTAGGCCGAAAAAGCCCGAAAGTCAAAGCCTCTCTAGCATCGAACAAGCTCATCCGTGCCGGCGGAGTGAAAATACATTTATGCATCCCATTGGGACCAACGACCCAGAATTCGTCGATGAGAGATGGAATAATTTCTTTTCCCGGTCTAGATGGCGAGTTCCCAAGAGAATATAGAAGACCTGCCTCAGGCGTGTAGGCACTGGTATCAGCAGTAATAGCCTTCACTGCCACATATCTGGCTCTTCGTAGATCACGGGCAAGCCATATAGTCGAGTATCCTCCATACCCAAGCTTGTCCACCAGTCGATAGCGGCCGTCATCTAGGTTGTCCCTAATTTTTAGAGGATGATATCCTCCATGGCAGTATCTGGCTAGGTTCTATGCTCAACTCGCTGGATCCCCCGGTTTCACGGCTCATCTCATCTGTCTTCAGAGGGGGGGGATGTGGACATCGATGTCTTTTGGACATGAAGTTGACTTGAGATAAAGCTGCATACCTGCCTATGGAATCGTTGGGTATTGGTGTAAGTACGTGCGAACATCTGCAGAGACGGGTAGTTAACAAACACATATCAGGCTTGTATTTTACGGGACAAGGCCTAGAATCGGGATATACTATACTAGATATAGACTTTCGTTTCTTGGCATTAGGCTTCGAGAAACAATGAAAGAATGTAGGTGGTGACACCAATATCCGGAAGTACTGTAACTCCGCACAATGGTTTGTGGTTACAAGACAGGTAGTGTTATTGATTATGGAACAGTCAAGTTATTCATTCTGTATTTGCGTGGAGCCTCAGGCTCATGCACATATGTACTCGATAAAATATAAATCATAAACGCACACGCCGGCAATCCCAACGCCAATGGCCATCTGCACATCGGCTAATGTCCCAGAAATCGCATCAATCCAATTGATTGATTTTCATCTTTATGTATTCGAAGATACTGAGCAAGATCATGTTGTTTACCCCAGTACGGATGAGAATAATAGATATTCCTTTATACATACTGGACTTGGCAACCGCGGCCGACGCCTCCCCGACTTCGCTGGACTTTCCGAGCAACACGCTCTGGGCGCGAGTCTTTCGAGTATCAAGTGGGTAGGTCTTTGGCGGTTAGTAGCGAACATATAGGCATCGTCGGTGCGAGACTTACACAAAACCACGGAACAGTGCTGCAAATCGCCCCGGCAATCATGGGACCGCCGAATGGGGATTTGTCTGGACCAAGCTCTTTGGAAGCGACTTGCTTTACCGTTTCGTAGACACTGAAGTATAAGCCAGATCCGAGAGTGTCACGCAGAGCGTGCAAATGAAAGCCAGTATACAGACCACGGATTCCGTAACGTTGGACAATCTGCCGAATCGCCTCTATAGTGCCGAGACGGGGCTTGTTACGCAATGAGGGGTCCTTGACCGCGTCCGGCGAGGCCTGGGCACGGTTTGACACCAAGACTGAGGTCTGAACAACGTTCTTAGCAAGCTCAAAGGGGCCTTTAACTCAAGTCAGCAATTGGAGTTCAGATGAAGAGAAGCCGTTATTCAGTCGTACATGCAAGCGGAGAGGTAATGAGTCCAGCAATTAGCCCAGCAGTGGTAAACGTCACAAAGGTAGAGACGGTAGGTGTGCTGCCCGGTTGATTGTACATAGCCAGGGGAGACTGGCCAGTCATTCTCTCGAAGAAATCGGAGATACGATGTTTGGCAGCGTTATATGTAGAAAAATTTACAACCCGAACAGCTGTAACACTCGCTAGAGGTGGCAGAGCCCCTGGATGCAGAATTGTCAATTATCGACCATCGGTCATTCCAAGCCGGCATTGACTTACCGGCAACGTAGCCACGGGGACCTTCAGTCCGCCACAAGTAGCGGACACACTGCAACACATTCTTAAAGTTGTGGCTAGCGGAGTCAGCACAGTTATTACTAATGGATATGTTAAGCACTTACGTCTGCATGCGAGTTTTCACATTTTCAAGAGGGGTCTAGGAGTAACCAATTAGCTTATCTCCATTCAAACATCTGCTCCGGACTAAAACGTACTACAGCAAGAGTCGCGCAGATCGTGGAAGTCGCCGAGGCCACCTGGGTTTTGTAGTTCTTGAGGAATTTGTTACGGGTAGCTTCATCCATCATCCAGGTACTACCAGTCGGCATTATGGCAGGTGAAGGTTGTGAGGGGGGAGGAGAAAAGGGCGCATGTTCAGTGTGTTCGTCAAGAGTCATCCCTGGAGGTATCCCATTTGGGGCGAAATGGGAGAGGCCTTGATTGTCGCTTGTATGTTCAGATTCTGTTCAATGTCGTGCAGCAGGCTGGGGAACCCTATGGAACGCAAAGCGGTCTCTCAACGTGCGAGCAGACCGTTCGGCGTCCCACAATTGTCCATGAAGCAAGGGCCTAGACCACCCTTTGTTTCGATGGTTCGATCTGTAGAGAGAAGGTGCAGATACTTCACGGAGGGAAGAACGTCGTGGGTTAAATCAATGAAGGGGAGGCGATAGCGGAGGCCAGCAGTAGGGTCGTAGCGACGATATCCACTTCTTCCGTGTCTGCGTATCGGAGACGGCTACGGTCGAAGTCGAATGGTTTTCTGGAGCTGGTGTAGAATACACCTAAGTGCCTTCTCTATCACATTCAAGAACAGTCTGGATAGCAGGAGAAATGGTGCAATTTAGGAGCTACCTATATAGAGGAATCATAGTGTCAGCTTCATCGACCACACTAGGCCTTTGCTTCATTTCTTTTCTGTTCTTCCTCTCTTTCCCTTCGTCTTGGGGCCGTTGGGCGAAAAGAAAGTCAATGCAAAATCAGAGAGAAAGCTAAGCATACCTCCAGGGACGAGACCTCCACTCTCGTGGGTGTGGAAGAAAACCCAATGCAATGAACACAGTCGAATGGGGTGAATCGAAGAGGGAGAAAGTTGAGGGGATCACCAGCTGCCCATGATTGTAGTCTGTAGGCACGGACTGTAACTTAGTACAGCTGGTGGTAATTTAGGTAACTTCCAGCTTCTAGGTAAATTACAATTGCTGGAGTGGACTCGCGCCCGAAATTCCAGCAGGTATGTGGGTGAGGGCAGTCAGTGGTGGACCTTCTTTCTCCCCTTTCAACTGGTTGGTTCGCTCGAACTGGCTTAGACTGTCTGTCCAGTGACGTCGTCGTGAGGCATCCAGTACGACCTCCACCATACACACTAAACCCACACTACTCTTCCTTAGAGGTCGATCCTCCCATTGCTGGACCCCAGGAAGAGGAACTTACTCAATGAGTGAGTGAGTGGATGGTCAATTTTGAATATTACGGCTTTTCTCTTTAACTCGCTGCAATTCCCATTACCTTCCACGATCAGATAGCTAAATCCCGAGTCTCCGCAATGTTATTGTGGTATGATTACCTGAGGACTTTCAGTCAAGGTACTGCCCCCCCTTAGGGTAGGAACTGACCAGTGGCAAGGGCGTGAAAGTGTATCGGACCAAACCAGTCCGGGCGGTGGTAACACCCGCTCCGTCTACCCCGCCGACTAACAGGCCTTCTGATTGATTGAGGAATGAAGAGGATGGGGGCTACTCCGGATTGGGTCTAGGTGAGTGCCAGGGACATTCATAATTCATCAGAATATGACCTACTAGTCGAGATACGACCTCAGTTATTGACGGAGTATATAATTCTTTGCTGGATGATAGGTAGAAGGCCAGCCATCCCTCCCTCCCCCCAAGTCATGGAGTAAACCTTCATACAGCACTATCTTTTTGATCGTACGTATTTGGAAAAGGCCCCTTATGATGATAGGGTCTGAAAGAATCCTCGTCCGTGTCCATGACGAATACTACCCGATTCCATGAAAACACCAGTTGAGCAAAATTGCCTCATGAAGCAAGTGTTGAATATCAGGAAGCTATGGATCGACGGAGTGTATCGTTGGCCGTACCACGGTTATGTAATGGTTTCGACCATCCGAATCGAAAGAATGGTGTCGTAATGGTAGATAAGAGCTATGTCGGGTAGTTCGAATAAATTTGACTTCCAATCAGAGATACAAATAGGTGTCCGGATTTTGGTTCCCTTCAGTACATCACCCATGTTACTGGCCAGAAAGTCAGGACATCATCAACTTGACAAATGAACTTTGGTCCGGTATACCAGCTAAATTCCACCCGAGCCCACTTCGAGGATTGATATGCCATGTGATTGGGGCTGTTAGGTGTGGGAATCGGCTTTGAAGCTCAATCATGTCTGTGCTTTTTGATACTTGGTTATCCTAGCATCTGAGTACAGCTCTGTTACTTGTTCAACCCCAATTAAACCAAGGCAAGTTTCTTGTTCATTTCGTGAATGCATTGTTCAATATATACCAAGGCATGGTCCCGGCTATATCCCGCGGTACCGAACCCAGTGTATATCTAAGATAGGTATGGACAGTAGCATGTCCAACACCACAACTGGGCACCCTCATTTATCAATCATCTCAGACTAAATGATATACCTCTCTACACACATACACACATATATATCAAAAATTCATCGAGATTGAACTTCCATTGATCTGATAGTATAATCCTCGGACCTCACAGTCGACCTAAGTACAGCCCAATCATGTGAGATGGTCCACAAAGGAGACTTGACTATGACTATCCTTTGATCTAAAAAGTGAGACGATCAGCAGAAGGTAAGAGCTGTGCTTTGTTGTGCAGCGTACAGCAGAAAGACATGAGATATGAAGAGTTGTGCAGGTCACACACCAAGGAACAAAGAATATCCTCGGGACCTCGGTAGGCGGCTCCCCGCAAAAAGTACCACTGGGCGTTCTCCGCAGTAAATCATTCTGCAGAGATTCATATGCTGCCTCCTTAACCGATTGCTATATCAATGCCGCAATGCTTTAAATAAACAACATTTTCCCCAGTTCTCCACCTCTGGACCACACGCACAATCCCACGGACTTTGCCTTCTTCTCTCTGTTCTTCTCCTCTCCTTAACAATTAGATTCCCCGATAACCACCTATCGTCACAATGGGCAAAAAAGCAGCGTCTCCCGCCTATGTCCTAGGTGTAGGAATGACCAAATTTATCAAACCTCGGGGCAAGGTTGACTATCATGAATTGGGTTTTGAGGCTGGCGTCAAGGCCATGCTGGATGCCCACATCAACTATGATGATGTTGAGCAAGGAGTTGCGTGCTACGTCTATGGGGACAGTACCTGCGGCCAGCGTGTGTTTTATCAGTTCGGTCTGACACAGATTCCCATTTACAATGTCAACAACAACTGCTCAACGGGCTCCACTGGCTTGGCGATGGCCCGTACGATGGTCTCCCACGGGGCCGCTGACTGTGTTCTCGTTGTCGGCTTCGAGAAAATGAGTCCTGGAAGCCTTCAGTCGGTTTACAATGACCGGGAGAACCCCACAGGCTTGCTTGGAATGATGATGGCTGAGACTAGGGGAATCACGAATGCCCCTGGGGCGGCTCAGATGTTTGGTAATGCTGGTCGGGAGTATATAGAGAAGTATGCTCTCCAGGGCCCCATCTATCTACTTCTACGGAATTTCAACTGACATGGTGTAGGTATGGAGCGAAGAACGAAGATTTCGCCGAGATAGGCCGTATCAATCATGAGCATTCCAAGCGCAACCCGTACTCGCAGTTTCAAAACGAATACACCCTTGAGCAGGTTCTCAAGGCGCCCATGATCCACGAGCCACTCACCAAGCTGCAGTGCTGCCCGACATCGGATGGCGCTGCTGCCGCGGTTGTCGTTTCCCAAGAATTCCTGGATGCTCGGCCGCATCTCAAGGACCAGGCAATCTTGATTGCGGGCCAGCAACTGGCCACCGATAATAACACCCTATACAACCGAAGCTCAATTGACCTGATGGGTTTCGGAATGACCCGTAATGCTTGTCGGGCAGCTGCTAAGGAAGCCGGCGTGAACGTGAAGGATATCAAGGTGTGCGAGTTGCACGATTGCTTTTCCGCTAATGAGATGATCACAATCGATGCACTCGAGCTTTCTGAGCCCGGTAAGGCGCACGAGATGGTTCGTCGCGGCGACATCACTTATGGGGGCAAGATGGTGATCAATCCATCGGGAGGCCTTATCTCAAAGGGTCATCCTCTGGGAGCGACGGGTCTTGCGCAGTGCGCGGAACTGGTGTGGCACCTGCGTGGTTGGGCAAACAACCGGTTGATCGATGGAACGGATGCCGCCCTGCAACACAACCTGGGTCTGGGAGGCGCAGTTGTGGTGACTGTCTACAAGCGAGCGGATGGAAAAGTTGCGGCGTCCGTACCGTCAGACGTTGTTGGAAAGATCACCGGTCTCGGCTACAACCCAGCTGTTGAAGCTAAGGGCTTCACAGCTGAGCAGGCAAAGACGGTTTTGAGTAAGAACCACAGCAGTGAGTGGGCACTAGCCGACACCCAGGACCGGGTTCTCGCTCGTTTCTAGATCATGGTCGGTGGGAAGTGCAAAGGCAATGATAGATAGCCTCGTTATGGCTCTTCTACTGTCTTTTCACTACCATCTTCGTTGTAAATTGTTTTAACGCTACATAGAATGACGAACTGTTAATAAGTTATTCAAGGAACCGGAATATAGTGCAGCCGTGGTACTAGTTGTAGATTACATAACCCATCCCACAAGCTCCACCAAATAAATTTCCGCGTTTGGTTCCCGCTGGCTTTTCTCTTCTTCAACATATTTCAGGTCTCCGACATACCCTTGTTGATGGAGGTTTTGGCCTTCAAAGCTCCCGTTCCGTCTGCAAATTTTAGACAGAGACCGAGAGCGATGAATTTGTGCTCGTTCTAATCCCATCGCCTGCCAAAAGGTGCCGGTGCAACCGGCCCGACTACGGGGTTGTTTGGGTTCGCTTTGAGCATACACCCCTTTCTGAGGGAATTTGATTTAGGACGCATGCCAGTCCTTCGTACCTAGTTGAGCGATCAACCATCCCAGTCTTGAGGGAGGGTTGATTGCCATGTTCTGTATAGCCCAGGAAAGAAGATGATCTTTCCGTTGCTCAACCGACGCTGCTCACGAACTAACAAACAGGTCAATATACCCCCGTAAGCTCGCAAAGACAAAAAAAAAAAGTCAAGCAAGGCATATTCGAAGTCTCGTCCGTCACTGCTCTATGATATTCGAGGTCAAAACCGTGCCGAAAAGGAGTCCGTGGACATCGTCCACTTCTAAACGCTCCCTCGTGTTGCGTCCACCTTAGTTTCAGATGGGGTGGTACGTGTCAAAGTAGGGAGATACATTCCGACAACCGTTGCAAGCTGTACTAGTAGTTTCTTGGAATGTGCATTGCGTAGTCAAAGATTTTCCAAGTATGTCGCCTTGAGAATTTGTGGCGTGTTTGCAAAGCCAAGGCGTCGGGAAGGGCTGGCACGGTGGATGGCGTCTCGCGGCAGGCTTCGAAGGAGAATGTCGATCAGGCCAGTTATGTTGCCCAGCCAAGGGCGGGCTGCAACATATGGAAAGATCTTCTCATCCGAGGCTTTGGAATGTCGCTGGGGAAGATTCCCTTCACACTGATTGAGGCACACTCGCCAATCAGATGAAGGAACAACTGACAGGAGTCCATGGATACTGTTTTGCTCCCTTGCGTTGCTTGGTGCTTGAATCTTGTCGGGCGAAGGCCATACGCAAACCTCATTGCACGAGCCAGCCTCGCGACCTCTGGGAAATGCCCGGTTGCCTCCCTTGAGTATGTATGTCATCGCGTGTTTACCGTTCTGACAACATTGTCTCCTGTATAAATGATGGGTTTATTCTCCGCAAGACAGCGAGTCTTTCGTTCCAGAGCACGTTTCCTCTGAAAGTTGTATTCAAAAATAGTTTGGCTATCTCATAGGCCTGTCCACTCCTTCCAATCTGAGATTTTTTTCATTGCAACTCTAGACCTGTCAAAATGGCTCGTACCACGCTCTCTTTCTATACCATTTGCTTCATCCTAGCTCTCACGGGCTCTGCTTTGCCGGCCAAGCGCGCAGACCCTGCCTCGCCTTCCAGTGAGGTTGCCCCCAGCGGCATGGCGCATATTGCCTATGATGCTGTGAAGGTGAGCTATACGCTGAACACGCCTGATGGGACGGTGATTGATAGGACTCAGTCCACCACCCACGTGGCGCAGGAGATCAACAAAGACTTCTACGACGGTGACGATGATGAGACGCCGAAGCCCACGCCCGTCAATATCCGCCCTGTTCCCACGCCGTCCAGCAGTGGGACAGCAACCAAGTCTCTGAAGGGCTTGGACAAAGCGCAAAGTGCAGAGAGAGTGCATGGTTCCGAGGAACCATCGTCCTCCCCCTCGCCCTCATCTGAGACGAAGACCGACACCGAGCCCGAGGAGCCCGAGGAGCCTGAGGAAGAGACTCCAACAGAAGATCAAAAGCAAAGCGAGCCTTCTCCCACTCCAACTCCCACAAAGAAGCAGTCAGGCAGCAGCTCTGCAACTCCAGCCACTCCTAGCCCCTCAGCTAAGGAAGACGACCCTATCAAGAGTCTCCCTTTCATCGGCCATCTCCTGGGAATTCTGTAAGTGATGGACCAGGAAGTACTGTATTGAGCCAAGGGTTGTTGGAGCAAGTTAGATGTCATGTTTCTGAATAGCCGTCTATACATCTTAATCAAATTACTAGCTATCGTTTTTTCATTAATATGCCTCTGTTTGGTGTATAAAAAAGCACCTTGAGACACCATGTGAACAAAAGCTAATAATCTAATCTGTGCTCAGTCCCTATTGGAGACGGTGATTGACATAATAATGTGTTTGAGTATCTTAAAATCTGTCTGAATAATGTGTTGATGCACTCCTTGCCTGCAGGGGTTATTCTTGGAATTCTGCTATATCCCCATTGTGCCCCATTAGGGCTAATATGCGAGAAATCATTGCCTTGAACATCAGCCCACGGACGAACGATTAATATATGAAGATGGTTCTGAAGACTTGCGTACAAGGTTGGCTTCCAGTTGATGACCCAGTCTATTCCCTAGCCTGGTGGCTCAGCCAGAAGACCAACTGACCGCAGCATCTAGAATACTCGTCTCCGAGGGCAGTAGCTAGGTGCAGTGGCGGTTCATGTCACCTCTTGTATTAATAGTGAGGCAGTAAGTGCCTATCATTTGTAGCGAGAGATAGGTCATGAACTCTTATTTTGGCTTGCTCTCTGTTGCCCTTCGTAAAGACCAGTGTAATATCCTGCAAAGTACCAGGACATCATAAGATTCTTCAGTCCTTCATCTTGGACTGAAACATATACAAAATCAGCTTATATAACACATATAGATGCGGACTCTCTCACCTTGCGATAACAATGTCTGAGGCATGGCAGATCCCATAACACCGGGCCCAGCTGGGTCATTCGTTCTCTGAACAGGAACCTCTGGGCTACCTGCGTTCTGAAACAAAAGTTAGTTACCTTGGCATAAATTAACTATCGCTACAACGACATACTTGCAAAACATCCGCCTGTGGTATGTGCTGAGCCTCAGAGGAAGCCGCTATTGAATCGATCGCCGGCTCTTCAACATCGGCCTCCATGTGGTCATCTTTGTCGACCACTCCTTGACCATCCTCTGGAACTACCTTTCCATTTTCGGCGTCCTGAGCATACCTCAGAACATCTTCAACATTTTCCCCTTTGGCGTGGATGCTATGGTAGAGCTATCCAGTGGTGTGTTAGAAGTGCATATCACGTGCGCCGCAGTTTTAGGGAATAAAAGGTACCTTGTATTCTTCTACTGCTTCGTCCCAACTTTGTACGAGCGCAGAGTCGTCCCAGATTTCTTCCTGGGTTAGTGCCTTGGTCGCATTCTTGTTCTTCCCCATGGCATCCGCTTTATCTTAGAAAAAAAAAGGGGAAAGGAAGGGCTGTTTTATTAAGACGATTTGTTGTGATTGCTAGTGAAAGGCGAGGGAGGTTTACTTAGTCCACCGATAAGACTAAGACTGAGACGGAAGCTCACCGCTTGGCGTTCCGTCGGAAGAAAGAAAAATTAATGCAAAAAAAAAGTTTCCGCACCCTCTCACTATCAACAGGTCTGGATTGTAGCGCTCAACCACAGCCTACAATTTATTATTTTACGCCATAATGGCCCCAGATAAGAAAGATAAGAAGCGCAAGGGTATGTTGTCCTTCCATTTCGCTCAGATTCCCCAGGTGGGTTGCCGTACCATTTACTGACAATGTCACAGCTGCCGCCGCTACTGCCGCCGCCGACTCGCCCGCGAAGAAGACCAAGAAGGTGGAAGCCAAGCCCGCCGAATCCACGAATGCAAGCCCTAAGCCTATTCTGAAGAAGAACAAGGGAAATGCTGCGGAGAAGCCTGCCGCTAAGTTGAAGGTCAATGGCGAGCCGACAAGACAGGTCAAGCCTCGCAAGCGCGCTGCCGATTTCCTCAGCGACAACGAAGAAAGCGAGTCAGAGGATGCCCCTAAGGCCAAGATCGAGACAGAGAAGAAGTTGAGCAACAAGAAGACTAAGAAGGCGGATGGTACAGCAGCCCCCGCTCCCAAGGAAAAGACTACCAAGGCCAAAGCAAGCACCAAGGCCAAGAAGCCAGAGCCAGTCGCCGAAGAGTCTGACGATGAGGAGATGGAAGATGAAGAGTCTGCCGCGTCCGGTGCTAGTGCAAGTGAAGATGAGGAAGAGGATGACCGGACCGCTGCGCTCATTAAGGGCTTCGAGAGCAGCGGGGACGAGGACGAGTCCGGAGATGAAGGATTTAACCCCGACCAACCGGTTCCTAAGATTCCTGATTCTAAGAAGGCCAAGAGAAAGATCTTGAAGAAACAGAGGGAAAACAAACAAGAGGCGGAGGAGCCAGGTACTGTATACGTCGGGTGAGTCTTCCTGCCCTTACTCGTTCATTGGTGAATTAGGTCTAACCAGCTACTTGACAGACGTATTCCGCACGGTTTCTACGAACATCAGATGAAGGCTTACTTCTCGCAATTCGGCGAAATCTCTCGTCTGCGTCTTTCCCGCAATCGCATTACCGGTCGTTCCAAGCATTACGCTTTCATTGAGTTCACCTCCACCTCTGTGGCGAAGATTGTCGCGGGTACCATGGATAACTATCTGATGTATGGCCATATCCTGAAGTGCAAATACGTACCCCAGGAACAATTGCACGCGGAGCTCTGGAAGGGCGCCAACAGACGGTTTAAGCGGACCCCCTGGAACCGAATTGAGAAGAAGCGACTTGACAAGGCCAAGACAAGAGAGCAGTGGTCGGAGCGCATCGATCGCGAACAGAAGAGACGGCTCGCCAAGGCTGAGAAACTCAAGGCTCTGGGCTACGAGTTCGAATTGCCCCAATTGAAGAGTGTCGATGAGGTCCCCGTTCAGCAGGAAGAGAATAAGGCGATTGAGGCTTCGGAGACAGTGCCCGAAGAACCTACCAAGGCTATTGAAGCGCCAAAGGAGGAGGACAAGAAGGTTGCTGATGATACCCCCAAGAAGGCTAAGAAGGACAAGAAGGGCGCACAATCAAAAGAACAGGAGACACCAAAGGTGACACCCAAGAAGGATACACCTAAGAAGGAGACACCCAAGAAGGAGACACCTGCAGCAACTGCTTCGCCTGCCACCAAGGCTGGAGCAAAGGCTAAGAAGGCGAAAAAGACCAAGACCAAGGCGTAAATCCCAGTTTAACATTCTCTGTAACTTTCATAGCATAAATTATGTTTTCTCCATTTCCATGGAACAAAAAGCGACTGTACGTTTTGATTTCCTACTCTAAGTCTAGGTCACACTAGTTGAAATTCCCAATATTGAAAGAAAAACCGTGATGTTATCCAACAACGCTTCCTTTTCCTCCAGTTTGAAACATACAATTTCCGGCCCAAAGTAAAGAACATCATTGGCTCCTCGACATGAATATCACGTGATTACGCTAGCCCACAGAAGGCTTAGCGGAACCACTTCAATCAGCCGAAAGACTAGAAAAAAAGCTCCAGTGAAGTTTTCGCTCTCGAATTCTTTCTCTCTCTCCAACTTCTCGCTCAAAGGATCGCATTCAAAGCTCACACACAGAATATTCCTCACGGGATATTCTCCTCTCTTCGAGAGAGGTAATGGCTTTGGGAGAAAGTCCCCGGACATCCTGACCTTCATATCGGTCAGGCATTGCGGAAACGCGCCGCCATAGAAGCAATTCGATAGCGGCTGACTGCCCTATTCCCTCCCGGTATCCTGTTTGTATCCGACGCCTTCACGGTGGAAACAATGGTGGTATAGCTGGGTGCCGGAGAGGGGTTTATCTGGGTTGCCATTCGTCGTGTTTGGATAGTCATGCGATTGCCTGGTTCCCTTGCAGGGACTGGGTAACTCAATGGGGCTCATTCTTGAGGCGAGGAGTTCACTTCTTTTTCTTATCTTCCAGAGTCTGTAGCTTATGGTAAAGCGGTGCACCGTGTTGGCTTCTCATGGAGCCGCGCACACAGAAGCCCTGTCACAGGGGCCGGACTCCCTTGTTTACATCTTGTTTTGTTGTCTCCTTCACTGTTCGCATGATGATATACCAATCATAGAGTCAAGCCCTGAAATCCCTACTACGGTATGGGGTTGTTGACGATAAACGATTGTTTTCATATCTGAAGAACATCATTCTTCTACACTATTAGATAGATATCTTTTTTTTTTTTTAATTCTAACAAAATAAACACTTGGTTTACTTTACATTCTCATGTAATCCATAATATGTAACATGCCAACCGTCAATCATTGCGTCTTTTGAGCCGTAGCAACCGGAGTAGGTTGAGCTGTCTGCAGAAACATCGAAGTAACCATCTCCGCCGTGACCGAAACCGCCGTCGCGCACACGCTGTTCCAAACATGAACGCTGACGGATCCCATAGGGGCTCGGGGGAATGACAGAATCCATTGCACGTAGTAGGGGATCCACGCTTCTGGGAGCGCAAAAACGGGCGACTTCGAGTACCAGAATTGAAGAAAGATCTTCACACCGTTTGTACTAAGCCACCGGGCGATCTTGACACTCCAGTCGAACGTGCTCTTCTGTGCCGTGAGCGTTTTGTCTGTAGAAGTGGTATATTCAGTCAGTTTCAGCACTAGTTATGGAGGAGTGGCACGAAGAGAATGTAGAGAAAGAGGGCAGGAGGCACATCACATACTCAGCTGTTCGTACTCATCCATGGTTTTATCATGTCGACGCCTAAGCTTAGCCCACTTTGCGAATTCATCCTGAGAGCTGGTGTTGTTCATGTCCCGTTTCAACTCGAGGGCTTCGCGCTTCAGCCGGCTCTGCTCCCGCGCATTCTTTGAAGTTGATGTGGGTAATTTCAGGTAGAGAAGCCATAGCTAGAGGGAACAGTTCTGTCAGTCAAAGAACAACTGATCAAGGTGGCAGTTGAAGTGGTTTGAACCGTGTGACTGGGTGTAGCTTGATCACAGGAAACATAGGACGTACCAGGCTGTCAATCGTGCTTGCGCCAACAGTATTTACTACATAGATGGTAACGTGGAGGAAAAAGATCGTCCAGATCAAGGATAACATCTTGGAGTGTGTACTATGGTCGTGGTAGAGAAATGTGACTGACAGAAGAAACTGACTGCGAAGCTACTTTTGGGTTTGTGGGAGGCCACAGCACCCACCTGCGCTGAAGAGATAATCAGACCTGTTCCGCGCGATCTTGAAGGGACGAAAACCCCCAATTAGAAGATTGATGTAAGGAGACAAGTGGAGGCAGAGTGAAGAGGAGAAACTGGACAGACAGTCGGAAATGTCGTGGAACAATGAATTCTCGTGATTTGGATGACGTTGTCATGTTGGCCTCTCGTTTCTGCCCCATTAAATCCGTCGGCGGCATTTCTGTCCGCCTTTCAACACAGCATCTCGTCTGAAACTACTACACACAAGGCCATTGTCCACGCCATGGTAAATGACGGCTGACTCGTTCAATGATGGGATAGATTGAAACACCCCAATGTCCGCCTCAGACAATGCGTTCCAAGAACTCGCTCGGATCTTTTCGACCAGGAACAACCGCATTCTTGAGATCGAGATTCTCCCGCCAGCTCTTGGTCCCCTCCTCCAAGATGAATGCTCTGTAGGTATTACGAAGAAATACCTGGTTCAGGCCTTTGTGACTGCTAGGCGTATATTCTTTGGGAAGTCGAGTTCCAAATTCGAATACGGAACTCCACGCACGCCACACGAGAACGAGAATGAGAGCGTACCGCACGGATCTTCGCACGCGGTCCTCGAGGACCTTTTAGTCTCAACAGAAATAATATTGTTATTCGACTGCGAGCATCTTACAGCATGCAACTGGAGACGCGGGCGGCTGGACGCCCTCAAGAGACACCATGACCTTTCCTCCGACGATCCAGGGCCACTTGTCCAAGCGCTAGAAACTGAGCTCACCCTGATGACAACTTATATTTGCTCGCCCTTGCACCGGCATACAAAATCCCCTACGTTATGGCAACATCGATTATGGGTGCTAAGTCGGTTGCTCGAAACACGTGGAATGGGAGCGAGACGACCACCCTTCGTCAGCCCATCGGAAACAAACAAACACCAGGAAAGCAAAGTCGACTTGCTGAAATCTGAGCTAGACATAGTCTTTCGGGCCGGCGAACTACATCCACGGAACTACTATGCCTTTAACTATATAAGACAAGTGGTCGGCGTCCTTTCGAATGCTACAAAAGCCCAGGAAGGTCCTTCTGCATTGGCTGAGTCAATCCTCGATTCGACATTGTCTTGGTGCTTGGCCCATCCGTCAGATATATCCGGGTGGATGTTCATGCTTTACCTTCTGGAAGCTGTTCCGAGGGCAGATCTTCAACCTAATACTGTTCAGAGGGTGGTCCGCTACGCTTTGGACGTCGGGTGGGAAGGCGAGAGCCTCTGGACTTTTGTGGACCTGTCCGTCAAGGCGCTTGATCTAGAGGAAACGGTCATCAATACTCTACAGAGAGTTACGGGGATCTCTTATACTACTATTGTCACGGTTCCGGATGATTCGATGAAGAATACAGCTCTGCCAGTGCAGTCTTGGAAATCTTGGTTGACCATGGCGAGGAAATATTGGGATGGCTACAATCAAGTTGGCTACAATGAACCATAGATTTGAGAAAACCACACACTACCCACGTCTGTGCCGTGGTGAAATACCATCAAATGTCGAAAAGCTTAGTCTTTCAAGCAACAGGTATGATTAATATAGTCTCTCGTGCCTTCGTGATACGTCGCTCTGCGTACGAAGAATAGAAACTCCTCCGCGTTTTGAATAACGCCTCGCTAGATATAATGCTATGATAATATGCGCCAATAGCCCCAACTTCCCTGTATAGAATCCAGTGTATAGTATAAAATAGCCCGTGTAGATCCGTCATTCCCATCACATCTCTCAACATATGGCATCTCTCCAAACACATGCGCTCCGACAGACATGGTTATAATCCAAAAAAGTGGGGGTTGCTCGAAGGGTATGTCATAAGAGGATGTTCATTGAAACGAAGGGGGTGGCATATATGACGGATCCAAGCCAATACTGGTCATTTCTTTTTATCGGATGAGGTTTTCGCTGCGTCGGCTAATTTCAAGCACCGGAAGTTAGTTAAGTGATAGGCAAAAAGAATGCGATTGTCGATTGTGTGTCACCGGGAGACAAAGTGGAAAAAAAAAACACTTACCACTTGCTTGCTTCCTTCGCATGATCTCAGCATCCGACTCCTTTTTCTGCTGGAACTGCGTCCCGGACAAGGTGTTGGCGGATTTCTAGACGGGTAGAATATGGTGTTAGTGAAAACTTGACAGGAGAGATATACAGGACCTGTATCAAAAATCGTCCTTTACCTTTTTGTTTTGTTTTTTCTGGTTCTTGATGCGATCCTGGTCTCTTTGGTTTCCGCGAGTCATCTTGAATGACGTTGACCTTTTTTTTTCTTGGCCTCCTTTCTACTTGTTTGTGACTATATAATTTTTCCCTTGGAATTTGTTTTCTTGACTCCGTGTCTGCGGCGGCTGGTGGGGAGGAATGGGGGGGAAAGGGGGGCGTTCTAAAAAAAAAAGTTTGCCTTTAAGACTTCCAATACTATCTAATCAAGTAGGACTTGGTGAGGACTAACCAAGGGTCGTGGAAGGTTCCGCCGGTATCCATACAATCCTATTTCACCAACAGTTTGCAAAACCACCGGGCATCCGCGCCAAGAGAACACCAGGTTGACATTGCTAGTAGCTATAATACATAGTTATCGGAATGTATTTATTTCAATTTGGAAATTTACATTGGCTAAGAACACCAACCTTTACACAGGAGATATTCCGTTTTGGGGGAACATGACCTTCTAAATCCGAATTATATATGTAACTGGCTGGCTTCCTGTGGATGACGGTCCAGTATATCTCACATAACATCAACTCAATGTTATAGATATTCCGACAGTGTCCCAATAGATACCAGAGTGTTCTCGTTGAAGGGCCCAGTGCTTGTTCTTCGTTCTTCGTCGTCTCGACCAACACCAGGATGATGGATCGCTTCTGCTTCTCGGCCATGATGGTTGAGGATCATTGCCACAGAGTATCTGCATTTCAATGTGAGAGGCTTTCTCCGATTTCTGTAAGAATGCCTACCAAGTTTGCTCTTGCTCTGGGGGCACAAGGGGTGACTCGGCCCTAGAGCGCTCTCGATTGTCCAAACTGTTTCGACGCTCCGGTTGTCGAAAGTTGACTTCCTCTCTTCTAGAACTTCCACTCTCAGAGTCTCTGCCTCTTGGAATCGGCCAAGGCTAGGCTCGCCATATTAATCAAGGTTAGATTAAGGTTTGTTACCAGCAGCTTCTCCTTGTCTGGAAGATAAACATATTCTATGTCTCTGCCTCTGACCGCCTGCCTTGGCCTTCGTACGTTGATGCCAGGCTAGCCATAGTCTCCAAACTCTATGGATGTTTTGTACTAAGGTACTGATCCTTCTCCAATGTTAGCAGATCTACTATTGCTGCGGTCCTGTGGCTACAGATACTTGGCCATACTCATATTACTGTGCAACAGCGCTCATGGGAGAGGGCTAGTGCATACCGAAAATAAGGGGCGAGAGAGCGGCCCCCGGTATATAGGGAGCAAAATCTCATTCTGAACAAAGTCAGGGATTGATTTAGACAACTTCAAGATCGACTGGGTTAGTTCAACTATCCAAGATTTGAACGAGCTACCTAGGTATGCGCTGCAACCTTTTGGGCGGTTATATCGGATGGGCGATTGGGTGAATAAATAATAGCCTAATGCACCTGTGAGAAAGCATCCAGCATCATTTTAACAATGATCCCATAGGATAGTGGAGTAGTCCTAAAAATAAATAATGGAGTGGGCGCTTAATCCTAGATAATATCATGGGAGTCGCATGCCGAGCAAGGAAGGGGAAACTTACCATGGCAGTTCGATAGGACACATCCGCGATCAACTAGCCGATCTCCTCCTTCTCAGGCTTGGGGCTCTGTAAGTAGGGTGAATAGCAATCGGGCATGTAAGTCGATCACTGTATTTTCCCTATATAAGACAGCGCTAAAGGAATCTCCTGGGAACACCAACCAAAATCCAACGGAAGCGCCGAGCAAGTCGCTGTGAAAAGGTAATGAAACACTAAGCTGCGATGGAAGACAAAGAAAGCGCAACAAATAGCGCCAGGATAAAGATGAATGGACATTGTCGCTCAATAGAACACTGAGTGTGTTTCAGGTCCGACTCCTGCCTATTGTACTTATTGTCGTTGTTTGACAATACGCTTGGGGTTCTTTCCCGACATTTCGTGGCGCGCCAGGACATATCAATAAGGCTTTGGAGGCAATGCCCTGGCTGAGTTATGTTGATCTCATTTCTTCTTTAACCCTCAGGTTAGCCCTGACTTTGTCGCTCTTTCTTTCTCCGCCTCCTTCAGTATCTGAACGCAGTCTGCTGCTGGTCAGTCCTCAGAGCCGCGCTTCCACCTTCCCTATTATCAGTTTCTCTCCAAAATTCCACACGAATCCATTCTTTGAATATACTACTATAAGAATCTTGGTCTAGCTTTGCATAAGGTTGGACAGGCAGGTGCTGGCGCATTTCCTTCATTATAATACCCCATCCATGATGGCTTCCTTGAAAGAGTCCTTGGCCGGCCCAGGGTTTGTGATTCTTAATGCGATTCGGGTCTTGAACATAATCGCCCTGTTAGACATTATTGCTGCCTGCGCGGTGATGCTGGTGAAGATCTCGCTGCTGAGCAGCTTCTTTTTCTTCGAGGCGGCATCCCATGTCATAATCGCTGGAGTTAGCAGTAAGTGATCACAGCGCCCTTGTTAACAAGTGTCTTGATCAAATTGCTAAATGATTATGATAACAGTCATTCTTATCATCTCAGAACTCCCGTTTTTCCGCGGTTATTTTGATCACAACTGGCCCCTCTTGGGTCAGGATTCTGGGTTTATCACCCTGGCCCTGGCAATGCTGATACTTGGAGTCAGTGTTTTGGGCGACTTGAATACGGAGGCCACAAGCCAAGAGTCCCTTGGAAATTCATTCTGGCAAATTGTTCTCTCTGCCGGGATATTGGCTATGATCATGAGCGCTATTAACCTGGTCGCGGTAAGCTTTGTTCTCTGGATGTGCCATAGTACTTACACTGACCAAAGCGAATGGAATCGCAGAGCCTTGTTTTCGCTGATCGCAAGAGCGGTGTCACTGCACGCCATGTTCGGGTATATGGAGCAGTTGCACCACAGAAAGTAGTCAAGCGAACGGACAGCCAGCGGTCGTTTCAGCTCTGCATGAAGCGAGAAGATACGCTGCCAAAATACAGTACAGAGTCAACCCCAAGGAGACAGTCAGCCATGCCTCGATTCCCGCTGAAGATAAAGGGACCAGTGAACCCGGACGACGCAGCGTCGTCAAAATATTCAAGAGATTCATCAGGAGTTGCTATGCCCAGCTTAGCCCATCATCCGGCGATGCAGTCTGGACATGTTTAATCTCTTTGAATCAGATGACCATCAACCTTTCCTTAAGCGAGTAAATGATACCTTTTGAATTTTGTTATAACGTGGGGATTGTTTGTAAGAAATTAGCGACCGAGTTATTTGGAATATCATGCGCTCTATATGGCTTCTTCACCTTTCCGGAGTAGGTCCAGTGGACAAGTAAATTTCAATGTGTATATACTAGCATAGTACCTCCTAGTACATCCATTGTCCACAACCTGGAACCTTATTGGTAGATGACAAGCGCCGCTTGGCGCCCGCCGCCGCCGATAAGATCAACCAAAGGGGCGTTTATGACACCTGAGCTTCATTCGATTTCGAATTGTTCTCGGGCGATGCCACAGCCAACGCTATACGACAAATTGGAAAGATGGTGGAATCAGGGATCTCCTTTGGAACGTATGTATCCTAGACATCGGGGAGTGATCTTGTTGACGTATTGGTTGACACTGACCTATCATAGCATCAAATCTCTCTTGATCTTCTTCGCACCGATCATTATACCTCGGATCGTCAACTTCTACCGGAGTACGCGAGTCGCATTAGCATCACGTCCAGCGCCTCGGGCTCTCCCTCAGAATGCATCGCGTGCCCTGAATGTCCTCTTCTTTGCGATTCTCTTCTTTTTACTTCTTAGCCTACCGTTTAACCCCCATGCGCCGAGCCCAAACATCTTCGCTCTGACACGTTCACGCCTTAATACCCCAACGGATGTCGTCTTTAATCGGCTGGCGCGTTATAGACCAGAGAACTTGTTGACAGATGCAGACATATTACTACGGTCCAAGTTCACGTCGCTGGGGGCCAGAAAGGTGTACCTACGTTTTGGGCCAGAGACATTGACAGGATGTCAGTTCTGCTCACTTGAAAATATAAACACCTACCTCCTATACTATCTTCCCTTCCACACGCTGCTTCCACATCTTTTCCACATGGTGATCGTGGGGTTGGTCACATCGGCACCATTCGCAGGTCGAGAGGCGGCAGGCTGGCGCAACAAGTTCACGATGGCGGGCCTTGCTCTGGCTACCCTAGATGCTTACATCGTATTTACGTACGATCCAGTACAGTCAGCGTCCGCTGCTGTACGGGCCGGTATCAGTCCGCCATCGAGTTTGTACCATCAGATCACTCTGCTGCGGCCCTTGGCGTTTGCAATCTTTGACGGTATCTGCTCTTTCTTGATTTACGTGACGGCTACCCACCGTTTTTTCTTCACTCCTCCCTCCCAAGCGGAACAAGTGGATCAGTTGGTGGGCTCATCCCTGTCGGCTCTGTCTGGAGCCACTGCGAAGCTCCATGCCGTGAACGTGGCTCGCAACGCGGTTGTCAGGGATAAAGTGCTGAAAGACCGAGATGATGCATATTGGCAGGCAGTTGTTGCGATGAACGCGGACACTGCCAAGGTTGACAGTGGAGATCCGTCGACTAATATCTGGGAGGAAGAAGAAGTGGTGCGAGCTATGTCGCGGGCGATGGCAGGCGAAGGAGGCGTGGATTTGGCCAAGTTGGGCGTTAGTGCGGCGGAATATGTCAATGGAGTGACAGCCGACTTGGATAATGATACTGAGCCTCACGAGAAATCATAGTAGACGTTGTTATTTTGTTGTCTTCTTCTGTGTAGTAGATATCCATAGTTGAATGGGCTATATAAACACAAATAAATTTATGTACATTATCATTTCCCCATCAGCGTTATAAAGAGTAAGGAATAAATTGAATGGCACGTGCAATCTCTCCGTACATCACAATTGTCCATCCTGGCCGATTGATCCTTGACCCTTACAACTGACAGGATGAGAGGGTCAGGTGGTTTCCGTTAGTGCAGGACTTTAAAACCCTAAGTTTCCAATTGATGGACCGTTCACTACTCCTCCAGGGTCGTAGCACTAGGCCTGAGAGAACCAG